CTACAGTCAGTTTAAAAAAATAAGAATAATAATAAAGAAATTAAATAAATAGTAAGTCCTGGATTTTGTTTTGGAAAATACATGTGCAGTCACTCCTGTGTTTATAAATGGAAGGGAATCACCAATACACTTCCTTAACCCAACACCTTATCAAGCTTCCAAGTTAACTCTATCTCCTACTGTCCCACGTGTTCCCTGCTCCTCTTCTCTATATTCTCCCCTTGACAATGGTAATAAAAAAATTCTGCCACAAGTCTGGATGAAGATGAAAGAAAACAGATGATCTCTTGAGTCCATTGACATAAAAAAAAAAAACAAAAAAAAAAAACAGAAAAAAAAAAAGATCACCCTAGAGAAAAACGAAACCCCACACACAGACATGGAATTTCAAACCACAAACACCTATACGATGAAATAAGCAAAAACCTCTCCAAAAAAAAAGAAGCAAAGTTGTAAAATAATATAATGTTGGCCTAGGGGCTTTGAAAACTCTTCTCCTCATCCTCTAGCAGAGGCAAACAGAAGCAATCAGAACTGTAGAAGCTCTCTCACAACTAAGAAGAGGGAGTTAAAAGCATTATTCATGAGAATAGAACAAACGAACAATCCACCTGGACAAAACACAGGAATTGACTTAAAATGCAGCTACGCAGTTGAACTCTTTGCAGACTGAAAATCACATAATAAGATTTCATTCACATTAATAAGAACAGCAAAATGTACAACTCAAGTGAGTAAAGCAAGTTACAAATAGTATGTGTAATATGATTTGGTTTGCCTTTGGTAAATGTATATACAGACAGACTTTAAAAGTTCACGGAAATTAGAATTAAAATTAAAATTTACTTTGAAGCAAACATTCTGAAATCCATGCATAGGTTTTTGTTTTATTTTGTTTGTTTGTTTTTAATTTGCCAAAAGGCTCATGTCCTCACCAGAGAAAGATTCGGAGAAAGATTGAGAAAAGAGAGAGAAAGAGGGAAAATGAGAAATTGCTCATTGGTGAGCAATTGATGGTCATACCACAATCCAATTTTCTCTTAAGATTTTGGGCATACAGGCAAGCGCACACACCCTATAGCAAAAAACTCTCAAAAAAATAAAAAGGAATTTAAAAAAATTAAAAAAAAAAGATTTTGGGCATACATGCACAGGTGCTTGGCATGTTTTTCAAGTTGCTGGGTCTTGGACATAAATGACACAGTGGGCCATGTAGTACCCAGTCACCTTAACCACCACACCAATCAGCTGGCCCAGCTTTTTCATGGTCTTCATTTTCCATGAACGTTTTGAAGATCTCTTGTATGCTTAGGAAAAATATTAGAAGAATACAGACCAAAAAAGCAATAGTATTTATTTCTAGGAGTATGAAAAAGTGTTCTTTATATTATTTTTTCCAAAATAATAACGAAAAAACATGCATTGTACTAATGACAAAAAATCAATATAATGTTTCTAAAAATAAGGTTAATTCTTACAGGAGAGCCTATTTGAAAGCTTACAAGAAGATAAAATCTTCTTGGACTGTTTAAGGGCAGCTTTATCTGGAAGCCGGATATGAGCCGGAATCTCTATGGTTATGAAATTTGTGACACGCTTGCAACTTGATTTATTTTTCTTTTTGTTAATTTGCAGTTTATTTTCTTCCACCTCAGAGTTTAAGGTTAATAGCAACACATTAAGATCATGTCTTAGAAAAAAGCTATTGTTTTAAAGATGTTAATTTCCAAGCTTTAAAGGAATAAAATGCAATATCATACCATCAAATTAATGTGACGAAAGTCTACAAGGAGTTATATCTTGCACTGTTTAGCTCAAACTTGCGATTCCCAGATAACCATCCTAACTGATAATGACTAATGCTACGATATTATAGCAATAGACCTTTCAAACTATTGAAGGGATTGTGTCTGTAATAAATATAATGTTTAAGTTCAAATGGAAAGCATACATGGTAAATGATTACATTATCAGAACTATTATTTTCTTTACTAAAGGATGGCAAAGCGCCCTATGTGTCACGTCTATTCATGGCCTGTTTTAGTACACTTATGAGTTACAAACAGTTTTTACATTTTTAAGTGGTTGGAAAAAGTAAAAGGAAAATAATAGTTCATGAAACGTGAAAAAAATATAAAATTCAAATTTTAGTGTCCGTACACGAAGTTTTACTGGAACACAGCCACAATCCTTTTACATCTTGCCCTGACTACTTTCACACTACGAAGTCTCCTTGGAAGGATTGCGACAGAGACCACATGGCCTGCAAAATCTCAAATATTTACTAGTTTATCCTTTACAGAAAAAGCCCAATCTCCGCCAAGTGATTTTGAGGTGGTTATGAACACTCTTCGCATTTCCCGCTGGTATCCTCTAGAGGGCAGGAGAGATCCTCTGACTAGTAGAAAGCCACAAAACAAAAAAACCTACTAACCCACAGAGGATATTTACATTTCCAATTAAGTCATCCTCTAAAAGTCAACCCTTTCAACAGTACAAAAAGTTTGTTCTATGTGTTCAATAAACCAAAAATTAGATGCCTAAAAGACCCTAGAGGGTTCATTTAGTCTAGAACTAATGTCTGTACTGAAATTTAGCATTTATTCACTCCTGCCTAAAATAAATATTATGTGAATATGCACCATTACAGCAGCTTCTCAGTGGCATTATGTCTACATGAAATTCTCCTCTTACTAGACTGAATTAAACGTACGTTTTCAACTTCACACAATTAGTTGAGCAACCTGGATTTAGAATTGGGTAGTGGGTGTGCATGTGCGTGTTAGACACTGACTTTTTATTTTAACTAAATTAAAGTGGTTTGAGGACTTGACTGGCCAAATGTTGTATTTGTTTCAGTACTGCATAGACAATGGTGCAACTAACTTTTATTGTGGCCAAATCTGACACGTGAATCAGTCAAGCACGGTGACTGGTCTGTACACACACATTTCGCCTTCACGTTCACTAGCACATACAAGACACATTAGGATCTCTTGAAAGGAAGACACAGATCTATGTGGTTGGCATGATGATAGCCTTCATGATCTTTTGAAATTCAGAATTTTTTTTAAACAAGAAGACACAAAGCACTGTATTACTTCCCAGGGCACAGCAGAGAGACGTGTTCTAGCACAAGATCTCTGCACTCACACGCTCTCCTACCATTTCTATTCCTTTTATTGTTCATGTAACTTTCAATTATGGACTTTTCCATGTACCAAGATCCAATAGGACAACAAATACCCCCATCCTGATCATCTAGTTCAAATAACTTTGTTTCTTTCTTTTCTCTTCAAGTACATACATATGAATATCTGCATCGTGTTTGTTGCTAAACCATTTAAAGTTGTGGACATCATGTCATCTCATCTCTAAATAGTTTATCACATCACTCCTAAAATAATCACTTTCCTCCATAATCATGATAGCATCATGCATGTAAGAAATTAGCCATAATTTCCTACTATCAATATCCAATAAATATTGAAATGTTCCCCCATTTAATCATAAAATCTCTTTTAGGGACTTGTAGTTGAATTAGAGCCATACTTCTTAGGTGACTGGTGTCTTTACTTCTTTAAACTGGAGCATCTCTTGCTCTGTCTGTCTCAAGGTACACATTTTCAAGATGCTGATTTTGAAACAGATTGGATCATTTGCCTGTAGGATCCACATTCTGATTTTCTTTTCCTTGAGGAGTCATTTAAAGTATTTTTTATCCTTTATCATTTCTATATATTGGAGGATAGGCCTAATGCCTTAAAAATATGATGCTACATGTCTCATACATTGCACTGAGAAGTCTGAAATATCCCATTTCTTGTTATGCTCATTTTGACTAACTGGTTAAGATGTTGACTACTTTTGTAAAAGTGTGATTTTTCTTTTGAAATTACCAATCAGTGAGATTTTATATCTTTTCATTGTTCAAATATCCTTCATTCCACCTTTTTTAAAAATAAGTTTATCTCTTTTATGAGAGTGAGAGACAGAGAGAGAGACAGAGAGAGAGACGAATACCCTCAACAGTCTCACGCTGTTAGAAACTCCATCTCAAACCCTTCCAGCCACCCAGAATCAAGGGCATGAGCCCATGTGACAGCTGACTGGCCACCAACCCATCCTAGGATCCTCACCCTCTGTTGGCTGAGCTGTACATTGCCGCTATACTGCCAAGCCCGCCCGTAACCTTTTAAAGCTATGATTTCAAGCTGTGGCCAGAATCAAACATTTCATTAAGGATTGAAAAATAGTAATTTTCTGATTATGTTATTCCTTACTCTTTCATAAGCTGGCATTATCCTGTAAGGAGTTTTCTCATTAACTGAGAATGATCTAGAGTTCTTTTGAAGACATCAAAGTACATGCTAAATTCTTAATCTTTAAGCTCCCAATTTTTAAGGAATTAACATAATAGCCACCTGCAACTGAGACAAAATATTAGATACTGAGTTGTGAGAAAAGTCATGACACATTTTTGCATAGAAAAACAGAAAAAAGAAAGACTTTTTCAATGACCTAACAGTGCTCTGTCTCTCTCTTATCACTCCCTATGGACTCACGCATTTTTATTTTTAAATATTTACTATTAATTAGATATTATTGTTGAGTCTCACTTTGTTGTTGGACATTTGGACTGTGAGAACTCTTTCTAGTTTGAAGCTTGTGACTCATCTTTCTTATTCCTTGGTCTAAAATATTTCTCCTGGATCTCTTTCCTTATCCAAGACCCTGTGGCTATTCTACTTGCTACAAACTGCAGCTTCCCCTCCTTTGCATCCCAGCAGTACCTCATTCTAAGGAGACCCTCTTACCCTTCCAGACTATGTCATCCCAAAAGATTAAAGTGCTAGACTGTCTCTCCCAGCCCCACAAATCTTTGCTTGATACATCAACTGCTATCAGGAAGAACCCCTGCACATTTATGATTTTAAAGCAAAATCCTAAAGGGATAGAAGACACGCCTCACCTTAAACTTTCTTGAAGATTTCTCTTACCTTGCATAGTAGTCATTGGGTGGAACTGCTTCTTGAAAGAACTGGAACTGATATAAATAAAGTCCAATCAAATGTCCAGCAGTGAAAATAGCCAGCAGAACACAGAGGCAGCTGAACAGCAATGGATCGAATGTCCGGCACCAGGACCACCAGGTGCACAGACCCAAAAATACAAAGAAATACACAGATGAGGTCAAAGATGGCAACATCATACCTACGGAGGAAGAAACGCGATCATGAAAAGTAAGATAGATCTGGAAATTCACTTAAAACTCAACGTGGTGAATAAAAATTGTGTGAAGTTCTGTGATATATTTTTAGGTATTGTTCAGGTTTTTAAAATGCTAATCATATTTTACTTATAAAATCAGAATTGATGCTATGTTTATGACTAAATAAGTCATACAGAAAGTGCCCACTTTGTAAATATTGGAAAGTATCAAATGATGGAGATATTCTACCTATAGTGTTTGAACTGAGTAAACATATATTGTTCATACCAGGAGAATCTGCATATTTACAGCTGTCCACATCCACCATTTTGTTTGCTGTAGGGTGGATGCACTCACCGGAGAGAAATAAAGAGAGAGAGTGGAAATTCGCTCCCAAGAGGGGATAGCCATGCTGCAATCCCTTCTCCATTCTCCTCCCAGTACTTTGGGCATGCATGCATATGCATTCAGCATGATTTGTAAGTTACCATATCTGGGACTTGAACCACTCATGGGCTATGTGGGATCCAGCTGTCTTACCCTCCCACCATCTGTTGGCCCCTGTCTACCTTTCTAATTCTCTCCTCAAATTTTTAGGAATATGCATGTGTATGTTTTAATTTTCCCTGACATCATTTTCTTTATAATGATTTTTTTTCTTGCTTACTTGCTTGCTTAGCTTCTTCCTTCTTTCCTTTCTCTTTCTCTCTCTCTCTCTCACACACACTTTCTTTTCTAGTTAGCTAAGATTCATAATAGTATTACATCCAGTGGTGGTTAAGGTCTCATGGCCTACCCTGCTGATGCAGTGCATGGTGTACTGAACTGCAATGCTGGGAGCAACATAGCCGACCATAGGGCATTGTACTGAGGAGATGGATGGCTGGAAAAGGGAGTTGGTCTTAGTCCCATGAGACCATGTTGAAGATGTTTCTCTCTATCCCTCTCTTTCTCATGAGTATGTACAGTCTCTATCAAGAATACAATAAACTTAAAAAAAAAAAGTCTCACTACACTTTACCTGCTAAAATTTTTTTTCACTATCACCAAAACAGAGATGTAAAATAAAGTAACTCCATTATAGGTATTTCTAAAAATATTGGGTCTTTTGAAATGATTCTTCATTTAAACACCAAATATAATTTCTATTTTTACCTCTCTCTGTTTTTTTTCCTATTAAAAAGCAGTTAAGTTTTTTCATCTCTGAAATTTTAATAGAACAGTGGGTTATTCTACTCAAAGGAGCCTCCCAGGTCTGGAGCTCTGCAGCGCAGTGGAATGGAAGGAGGGGAAAGAAGGAGATAGCGCTTTTATGGAATAAGCAGTCTACAGCCAGTATTTAAGGAAGTGAGTGTCTGTGCTAGAAGATTACAATCTAACTTAGGGAGAAAAATAGTATATCCTGGGGAGTTAAATTAGGATGACTAAACCCAGTGTAAACAGACATGCCTTCACAATGCTCAAATGTGGATCATGATGGGATCACTCAATTGGTTATTGCAGCAGATCACAATTTCAAGGCTTTAAGGAAGAGAAATAGCTGTCATTTTCATTTAAACATAGAAAATGGGGTCACAACAGATATGGAGAAAGATTATTTTGCAGAGGTTAACAGAAACCATCCAAAAACATCAAAATCAGCATCGGAGAGGAACAATTATTTTGTTATGTGGTTTGTACATGTGGCCAGTTTTACAAGAGTCATGGTTGTTATTGTGGAGTCATGGAATAGAGTTTTTCCTTCTTTATTTTGTCTTCAACCAATTTGTTCACTTTTCACCAAAGCATTATTTGTGTCTTCTTACTCTGAGAGGCCCAGTATTGGAAATACTCACCTGAGGAGCCCAACAAGATGGTCACGACGACTTTTCCCGCCGTGGTTATCATGTTGCCAATGAACTCCTTAAGCTTGGAAGCTACAGAGGCGAGCCTGCGGAACATCTTCAATTTCGCACTTTCTTCCAACTCGCCTTCGGCACCATCTCCTCCATCTAAATCCTCTTCATAAATCAGTGCCTCTTCTGAATCTATTTTTTCTCCTCCAGCCTAAACAAATGAAATAGAAAAACCACTACAGTCCAGAACTGTGCCTACCCACCCAGCAGATTATACGGTTCCTAACTGATGGGTCAGTCAGTCAGGTGAACTCATAAATCTGGAAAAAAAGCCAAATCAGTGCTCCCAGGTGTCTGACAGTTCCTGCATAAACCTAAGTAGCTTTGATCTTTTCTAAAGAAGGAAACAGGAAACATCACTAATCACAGGGTGCCTAACAATATGTCATGTTACCTCCAAGTGCTCTTTTTTTTTTCCCATAAGCAGAAAAAGGAACAGTCTGACACAGTTATTGACGATCTTAGCCTGGATCAATTTAGCTTTGATTCTTCACATTTAGTTTGCCACCAAGGTGATAGGAGATTTGACAGAACTCTCCATGGCTTTAACTAGAAAGGAGGGTCCAATAGTGCTGAGGAAGTTCTTTCTTTCTCAAGTTTATCTTTGTTCTCTCTCCCAGTATTTCCTGACAATCAGAGCAGGCATGATCTTAGGCTACTTGGCTAAATAAACAGTTGCTTGCGATCTAATCCTTTTAAAGGCTGGGGTACTCACTCGATCCTGGGCAATTCAACACCTTAGCACGATCCTGTCAGTACTGTCCTTAGAGATGTATGGAAGAAATTCATGTGGCAGAACGTATGCATATATTCATGGATTACAATATGTTAAACTGTGTAAGCTAAAAATTTTTTGTTTTGTTTTTGAAGAGTAGATTTTTTTTATGTGTGTGTGTGTGTGTGTGTGTGTGTGTGTATGTATCTAATTACAATCTTTCACCAGAAGGATGAGGATTGTGTTTTTAAGAAATCATAAATATAAGCCATCGCCTTATGACAAAAGGAGTCCGAGATGTATGGAGATTTCATGCCTTTGGCCCCACTGAGCAGACGCCTGCAGAGTCAGTGTTTTGGCCCAGGTAAGACATGTATTTAAGACTTAACAAGTAGAGCCTGCCTCTCTGTCTTCTTGTTTTAAAGGTTGTGGAGCGCCCCTGCCCATCGCCCTCAGCGCCTATTTTAAAATGGCGCTCAACGGAAGCCCGCTGAGCACTCAAAGCAGTAAACAACTTTAAGGAAGTAGGGCAGTGGGGAGCGTGGAGAGCACGGGAACACCGCATGCAACCAATCCTCTTTCGAGGACTGGCTTCCGTGCTCGTGACCAACGTGCCAATTGGTCAGGGGCCCTTCATAAGGCCCTGGGGCGGGGAAGAGAGGAAGAAGAAGACTGTACAGAGCTTGGGGTAAATAAAGTGCTGTAGAGAAGACCGTCTCCGGGTCGTTTGTAAACCGACAAAAGGTTTATCTTTGACACATTTAATTCAGATATTTATATAACAGTCACAGACAATGTCTGATTTTCTACTATGCCAAGGAGGAAGACAGGCATAGGAGGGCTAATGCCAGGTTGATATCGGGTGGCCTTGAGGACTCAGTGAGCTTTTGTCTGTCAAGGAGACCACTGGCCACTTGAGTCAGCTGTTGAGGAAGGCAAGGTGACAGGATAGACCCCCACCTATAGACACACACACACACAGAGGAATTAATCCCAGGTTGATTCAAGCTAATAAGTCCAAATCAAGTTCTACCATATACCATCATGACAAGTCTATATTGGTTCCTCGAAGTATAAAAAAAATCTCGTGTGTATTCATTAAGGTTTTCCTATCCATATCGGGCTTAGTAAGTCCTAGTATCTCTAATAAGAGACACAGCAATCAGGTCCAGGCTGTGGTGAAGGAGCAGTGCAACATGGTAGGGTTCTACATTCATGCCCTGGCACCTCCCTGAGCAAGCTGAGTGTGTGCATGTGTGGTCATGATCCATGTTGGGAGAATCATGGGGTGAGGACCCTGTTGGGGGTGCCCATCTCTCTGTCTGTCTCTATCATGGAGGAAATAAATAATATCTTATTTTTAAAAAAGAAAGATACGGCATATGGCAATAAACACATAAGCAAGTAAAAAGACACTAAATCTTACAGTAATAAATGCAAATGCTGTTCAAAGAAGTCATATGCAGTGATAGGTTGGGGACTGGCTGGGGGGATATATTAGGTTCAGAGGGTGAGCCTCCTGAAGATGTGACATTTAAGATCCAAATGTCACAGAATGACTAGTCATGTGAAAATCTTTGGAAGGAGCATTCTGGAGTGAGGAACAGCTAGTCAAAGCTCTCAGGTGTGGTCAAAAAGAAGGCAAGTGTTCTCAGGCCCAGGGCCTCTTCTACTCTCACAGAGGATGATTCCTTTTTTTTTTTTTTTAAGAATTATTTTTATTTAACTTTGTTTGTTTGTTTTAATTTGATCAGAAAGAGACAGAGAAAGAGAGAGAGAGACAGAGATAGAGAGAGAAGGAAAGTGAGAAAGGAAGCAGCCAGGTCCTGGACTCAAACCATGAAGTCCAGTGCCTTAACTACCATGCCACCTGCTGGCCCCAAGAGGATGATTCTTATCTCTACATCTTCCTTGTTGTCTGAGGATGACCTTGCTTCCCACCTCACCGGGAGGAGAGAGGCAAATTTGGCCAGACCCATAGACAATCTACCACAGCCCATGAGGCATACTCTCTGCCAGTCTCTTGTAACTAGGTAAGTTACAGCTCCAGCCATGACAACCAGATCCCTTCTGCCCAGGACCCCAGGAAGGAGCATGGTCCAGCCATTCTCCTCTGTCTCCTGCATTTTTTTCTCCCAGATCACCCCTCAAGAAATGCTTAGCTAGCTCACCTTGAAAACTATAGCAGGCTCCTCAGATCTGTGGGAGATACTGAATCCTATATCACATATTCAGGGCACTTCAAAAATTCATAGAGAATGGAACCAAAGTATGAGTTTATTATGGTGCAAATTAATTTTGAAATCCACACATAGTTTTTTCTGAAAACCCCATGCACTGTGTTTTTTCATCTGATAACTTAGATGGCTACTAAATGACAAAGGGACACACAGAGTGTGCAGTGCAGATACGCTGGACAAAGGGAAGATTCGTGCTCTGGGCAGGATAGAGCTGATTGGAGCTAGGTTTTATCATGCTACTCAGAATGGCACACAATTTGACACTTAGGAGTTGTTTATTTCTGGAATAAATGACAATATTTTCAGGTCATGGTTGACTATAGTAACTGAACCTGCAGAAAGTGAGACTGCAGGTAAGGGGAACTGTGACCACCCTTCCCATCCACATTTGCCTCCCAAAGTGAATGCTACAAAAAGAGTGGTCTGGACTCTACTTCCCGACATTTATTTCTGTGTCTACTCTAGAGTTTTTAAGTTTCTTCACTTATTTCTTGAGAGAAAGAGAGAGACCTCCAAAGGGTCTTCATGTTCAATCCACCTAGCATGTGCAGGGGACCTCGGGACATGAACCTGATGTTCGCAGGTGGGCCCAGCTGCATTACCGCTGCATCTTGATCTGTCCCCTGAGCATACTCTAATCAGACTTCCATCTCCAACCACTCTATGTAGTGAGGGCTGACAAGATCTCACTCTCATGCTAGTTCCTGCCTTGGGGAAAAGCAGAAGGGAGACAGCAGTTGGGAGGCTGTGTTTGTGTCCAGGAAGATGGGAGGAAGAAGTAAGGTGAAGTTCCTGTCTTCGAGTATATTTTGGAGGTTGAGTCAGCAAGACTAGCTGCCAAAAGTGAAGGTGGGGTAAGGAGGGATAGAGGAGAACCAAAAGTAGTGAGTATATTTTTGGCTTTATAGATAAGGTGGGGCTTCCAGCCAGACAGAAAGCAGGTTGGGAGCTTAGACTGAATACCTGTGTTTTGGGGATGCCTTTCAGTTGTTCTCATTGGAGGCGTCGAGAAGGCAGCAAGTACAGGAGTCTGGACTATTGGAGAGAGGTGGAAACTGGATAGTTCTATTTGGGATTCACTAACATATGAATTTTTTTTTTTTGAGAGGTTTTTGCTATAGGGCGCGTGCACTCGCCAGACAGACAGAGAGAGACAGAGAGATAGAAAGCGAGAAATCACCCCCAAAGGGGGATGGCCCCGCTGCAATCCCTTCTCCTCCATTCTCCTCTCAGGATCTTGGGCACACACACACATGTGCCCTGCATGAGCTTAAGCCACCAGGTCCGGGACTCGAACCATGGTCTACTATGTAGCAGTCCAGCGACATAGCAATTATGCTAACTGCTGGTTCCTAACATTTGAATTTTTTAAAGTTACTTATTTCTTTCATGAGTGAGAGAAAGGGAGGGAGAGAGAGAGAGAGAGAGAGAGAGAGATGAGCTTCAAAAAGGTAGTGCCCTGGGTCTTCCCCAAGCCTTAGCCAGCCAGAATTATAGGCACTCCTGCACCTTGCATTTACAGGTCCACTCAGGCGTCCACCAGTCTTCCTTATGACTCAGAAACATGACAAAGCAGCATGCTACCACTGCCACACCACTGTGGCTGGCCCTGGGTGTTCTTACAGTCAGGGAGTCTGACAAGATTTCTTGGACAGACTATAGAGATGGCCCGCCTATGTGCACTGCCACTCCCTGGACCCACTCTGCCTCCAACTTTATCCTCATCTCTCTGTCCACAAGCATCACACGCAGGACATGACTTGAGAAATCCAGAATCCACAGACTGTCTTTGCTTCTTTGCTTTGGAATGTGATGTTCCCACTGCCTGGGATCTCTTCCCCAGCTTCTAAGGCCTGGCTCACCTGCCAGCTCTTTTATTCAGCCCACTCCATCTCCCCACAAGCAAAATTAGTCAGAATTTACCCAGATGACGCGTTCATCTGGTAGCTGTTGCTTCTAGCCCCCTCACAATAGGCGAGTGTCACTTTTTATTATTAAGTGCCAGAGGGCATGCACACTCTCCAGACAGAGGCAAAGAGAGAGAGGAAGAGGGAGACAGTATCCCCCAATGGAGCATGATCTCACAACAGTCCCTTCTCTTCCATTTCTCCATTCTGTCAGGGTTTGGGGTACACATGCATATGTTTTACAAGCCACCGGGTCCAGGACTCCAACTGCACTACCAGCCCTGTGGGA